ACTTTTTCTACAAATTTCAACAGTTATTTCATTTATATTTTAAAAAAACTAACAGCTAAGAAAGCATATTAATACAATTTGTAATCCGATTTGCGACTTCAAAATGAATAGTTTGATTTTGATTTTGGAAATTTAATTTTTTTCATTGTGACAGATTTAAAAAAAATAATCGTGACTTGGAGAATGTTTTCAATTTTATTTTTGGTGAAAAACCGTGTTTATGTTTTCAAATTTTTATAATCATTTCAAAAACTCTCAGAAAGAAAGCAGAACTTTCAATTTTTTTATAATCATTTCAAAAACTCTCAGAAAGAAAAAAAAGAAAGCAGAAATATAAACAAAGGAAAGAATTAAAAAACTGCATCGATCCATTTTACACCTTAAATTCAAATTGATCCACCTTTATTTTGGAGAAGAGTGTCTAAACCTTTCAATAAATGTATCATCCTCTGGCACCATTTTATAAAAAAAAAACATAAACAAACTGAAAACATGCCATAAATTTGAACATTTAAAATAAACATGGCTTTACACCGAAAAAATTATAAGAAAGATTTGAAAAATAAATAAATAAATAAACAAAATACATTTCTGAAATTAAAGTTGAATTCTTGAAGATGACTTCTTCATTTTTAAAGTCTAAGCATAACTCAGTCATATTCGTATTTTTTTCAAAACTTGTCCATGTAAATTCTCCATAAATTTGCACTATTTTTATAAATAAACCCCAATTTATGCGTAGTTGTGCATTGTTTCTATGTATTTTTTTTTTCTTTTTTTAGTTCTAATGATGAAAATTCGTTGATCATAAATTTTTAGGATGAAAGTAGGCTCATAGAGTGAAGATTCCATAATATTAATACCACAAGCTCGTCCATTTAAGTGATTAAGTTAGGTGATTGAGTTATAAATTCTTTAAAAATTGAAGAATTTTCTTTTACTACCTTCATCTTATTATATCAATGTATAAATTTAAAATTTAAGTTATTATTGATCAAATATATATCACTAACATATATCCACTAAACATGAAAAAATTTCATTTAAATTGTTAAATTATTATTTGAGAAACCACTTGTACTAGTTAAGTATATTAATATTTTGAAACGCTTAAGTGGAATATGATTGTTTTAGTAATCACTTAATAGATGAAATTTCTAAAAAAATATTTTTTTATATCTTTCTTCAAATCTCATGTCATAACTTGAATGAAGAAAATTGTTGTATAATGCCTAGACTTTCAAAGAGAATATATAAGGAGAGACAATAATTTTCACACAAAAGTACTCTAATTTAATATTTAAATATTCTCATATAATTTTGTCATCCAAAAACATGTGTTTTTTCTACTTAAAATTCAAGAGACTAAAATAATAATAATAAAAAGTAGTCCTAACTTTCAATTCAATCCAAACATATTAAGGAATATGAGTGCACTTTGCAAATATTGTCATACAATAAATTGAGTGAGAGAATGAAAAGTAATATAATAAAAGAAAAACATAAGGGTTTTTCAAATAAAATAAAATTAAGTACAGACAAAAGAGAACATTGGATATTATGAATACATAAGGGTTTTCCAAAAAAATTATGAATTTTTCATATTTTAAAAAAATTGATTATGGAAGGGGACGAGAATACAACTCAGAATGGAAACATCGACAAATAAATATGTGTATCATTTTCATCCCAAATTAAAAAAAAATATTATTCATACCTCTATCAAGTTAATACAAGAATTTTCCATTGAAATTGAAACTTATTCTGATAATACCATAAAGATAGGTTTGCTTGACATTTCTGAGTTTGATTACTTTTCTGATCTTTGTACACATTTTTGCCAAATTGAATATCCATGTTAATAACAATATTTTTTTTTTGCTTGAGATTGTAGAATCTATAGCCTTTAGACCTTACATCATAGTCTACAAAAATTCCCATTTATACTTGGTCATCAATTTGGATCTTCTAGCTGCCGCAACATGAAGATAACAGACTAGAGGATCGACAGGCCAGGGGTGAGGCAGGCTAAAAACACCAACCTGTTCTGCCAAATTAGAAGAAGATCATTTCACTTTGTCGTCCTTAGTCTTTTGAACCAAGAAAAGAGAGAATCAATTCCAATTGTGTTTTTTGGTTTTGTGAATCAGTGTGATAATAATAAAAGTTGAAGGTGAGCTTGAGGTTGAAGATGAACCAAGAATCCACGAACTTGAGGTTGAAGACGAACTAAGAACCTATGGAAATGGATAAGACCTTGAGGTTGAAAACAAACTAGGAACTCCTTGGAACATATTCGATGGTGTAAGTTGAAGGAGGTGGAATCGATTCCACAAGCCTTTGAAGGAGCGCGTAACCGATTACGCTCACACTATATCCAATTCCACAATTTCTTAGTGATTCCAATGCCTTGGAATCGATTACCTGAGTTGTGCATGGACCAAGCTTTCTCTACTGTTTTCATGGACCAAGCTTCCCTTCTATTTTCATGGCGCTATGTAACGCCCCAATTTATGGAATGTCACGGGTTTACAAAAAACGGTAAATTTCAAACTTTCTTACAGTGCGAAAACATATTTTTCAAAAACCTTATCCTTTAAACATGCATAACTTATTTAAAACATAATAGTTCCAAAAGTCTTGTCCAATTACATTATTCTAAAAGTAATTAAAGTGATTAAGGAAATAAACCAACGACAATTGTATTGTTTCAAAATTCTATACCAAAAGAACTTTTTAAGGAAACTCAAATCTTTCCACCATCATCTTGTGAATTTAGCATACCTCTAGAACATCTGCAATATCATCTGCTTAAGTATAACACATTATACAATCATCGTCGAAAATATCATTCACAAACACACAAATACACAAATACACAAACACATATGAGGTAAACTATCGATAAAGCAATCGTAATAACAAGATATAAACATACTGATTATATCACCCATAAACAACCACCTCATACATAGTAATAATAACAATAGGATTCCTGATCTTCTAACATAAACAATTCAAACATAATGAATTAATTGATCCTCAATCCTCGATCTTTAACCATTGATGTCATCTCCAGCATCTCACATTTAGACCCTTGGTCTATCTACCCATTAACACCTATGTTAACTACCTATTATAACCATTATAGTAACATTGCTATCAACATAGCAACACTCGAGTATCTCAAGTACCATGATCATCATCTTAGATACACCACCATCATAACTATCCCAGTCATGAACAACATCATGAACATCACCATACCATAAGACCATAGTGAAAAGAGTTCGTCTCACTCTTGTACCCTACCTCACCGATTGTAATCGCTCCTACAACCCACATGTAGCCTCCCATACATATCATCTGTGGCCTCCCTTACAAATATGCTCTAGTAGTTCCGGAATCCAGCTAAGGAGCATGTAGTCCTGCCACACAAGGACAAGGAAGACACCTTCACCCCTATACAAGGAAGGCTCAATACTCGAACAAGTCTTCCAATGCTTATAAGGCAAAAGGAAGAACCTATCTGCAAATAGAACCAAGATTTACGAAGTATAATAAGTAAACTTATCCTTCACTCTCATGCTCATCAATCACTTACTCAGTTACATCCCAACACTCACTCATGCCCCACTCTCAACAATAAATCAAACCTGACCCTAAACATAACTATTGACCTCAATATCTAATTATCATCACATTCCACAACTCCCCAGGCTTGGTCCACAACCATTCTTCATCAAATTCATCATTTTTCACAAAAATGCACTGTGATAATCGATTATCTAGATAATCGATTATCACATAAGATAATTGATTATCTTAGTGAAATTTACCCAGAAACATCACGCAGAAAGGGATAATCGATTATCATCCCAGATAATCGATTATTCCCGCAACCGTACTCAACATCGACGCGCAGATAATCAATTATAACTAATGATAATCGACTATTGTCGAATTGAAACACATTTTGGACATGATTCAAGCATTCAAATATACATACATCAACCCTAAATCACGTGGAAACATACTTAACACATCATACATGCATTCAAGCATCACATACCCATGTAAACACACTCAAACATATATAATACATCACTTGAATCATCCAAATCCAATCATTGACATGTTATACCACAATAAAACCCAATTACGCTACATGTGATTATCACCACACCCTTACAACATATATTTGCATGTTCATGTAGTCCCTATTTTAATAAATTATGTTCAATTTGGTTTTTTTTCATGAAGCTTTCTAAATTGTTAACGACAGAGTGTACATGATGACAATGTTTGAATGAGTTGTGAGGTTTTTGCTTACGTGGTCGATCGTGCATTGTGTGAGTTAGAGTGCATTGTGTGAGTTAGAATTAATTGAATTAATTCAAGGGTTATTCGAATTTTCATCAACATCGTGTGGAAATGAGCGTGGTGTGATAGATTTTGGACATTGCTTGTTGAAATTAAAAGGGATTGATAATCAATTAGGTGAGTTTGACTTCTTAATCTGTGTTCGTAAATGCATAATGTGATTGTCTTTTTTTGTGGAGTTTAGGGTTTTTGTCAAGTGTGCTGATGTTTTTCGTAGTGAAGAAGTTAGCACACTACACTCACACCACTGAATGATGGGTCATTAGATTCAAATCCACCGTTTCCATCATCACCATCGTTACTACTAAGCTCTTTCTCTAACCCTACCTTCTTCTCATTCTTAGATCCATATCTCAAACCCTAAAAATGAAGGACTCCAATTCCACCACTAGTATCAATAGTGGAAAAACCAAACCCATTGCACAAAACATCATAAAACTCATAATCAACCTCTTCACCCAATCTTAAAATAGCACCTTCCAAATCATCTCCTCCGTCATCAAAATTGGCGAGGACCTCACCCCCTTGCCATATCATCCTTATTGTTGTTCAAAGGTTTAACCTCCTCGAGTTCAAGTCCATTAAAAGAAGCTATTTACTTGGATAAGACTTTTGCTATGGATAAGAGTATTTGTTTGGCTTCCCGTTATAATCCCAATAACAAGGATGAGGAAGCGAAGAATTTCAGGTACTATTTTGATTTCGAGTATTTTGAGGAGACAACTTTTATTGTTGAGGAAGTGAGTTCCCGAGGGATTAGAAAAATTGGCTGCCCCAACTATTGCAATAAGATTTCTTTAAGGGGAGGAGTTTGCAAAAGGCTTAATAGGTTATTTCGTCCCTAAGTTAAGAACTGAATTTCCATGTAGTATCCAGTTTTAAAAATGCTTCTATTTCATCCCAAAGTAGTATAAATTGTATCAATTAGATCTCTTCCGTTAAATTCACATAAACGGAGTTAACTCCACTTGACGAATCTGCACTTTTTCTTCTTTTTCTTCTCTTTCCCTGGATTTCCTGCAATATTCCAGCCTTTTCTCTCTCTCTTCTTCCTCACTTTTTCTGTACCTTTTCTCTCTCTCTTCTTCCTCACTTTTTCTGTACTCCTCTGCACTCACAAACCCATCTCCAACCCTCTCTTATTCACGCCAACAACCACCTTCATCTCTCCAACCATCACCTCCCACGTGCTCTGCATACAGTGGCAATGCAACCATCGACACCCCGCCACCACCCCTTCCAACATTCATATAACAAATAAGTTGAAACCACATTTGATGAGGGAGAATGGGAGATCAAATCTATAGCTGATTCCATCATTTGATATAAATCTATAGCTGCGCTACCATGAATCTCTGCTCCAAATGCTACGGTGCGATCCGTTTGAAGGAGCAGGACGACGTGTCGACCAAATCCACGATCGAAACCGCGCTTTCTTCCTCCGCGAAGACACCGCTGTCCACGGCGCCACCGGCGGCGATTGATGTCCTTCTCGAAGCATCGCCCCCGCCTTCGCTCCCGGCAGAAGCTGCGGTCGCGATTCCGGTTCAGGTCGCGGTGGTGACGAGCTCTACATCCTCGGGTTCAGCGCAACCGAACCGGTGCGCCGCGTGTCGGAAGCGTGTGGGGTTGACTGGGTTCAAGTGCAAGTGCGGAGTCACGTTTTGCGGGACCCCAATCTATAACACAAAACGATGCTTTTATTTTCCACGTTCGATTGTTCGAGAATAAAAATCTCTAAGTCCAGAGGGTCACAATGCAAGCAATATGAATCATAAATTCACCACTCTCATTCGTTTGTTTTCTTACACCTTTATGGTGGAAAGTGTGTGTTCATGTACATATAGTTCTTAAAGAAATTTAAACTAAGAAAACAAAAGCATACGAACTTGTACTCACTCACACTCCAATATTTTTCAATTATACCCATACATACATTTTCTCTAAGGAATTTATTCACCGAAGTGTGTGTACTTTTAGTTTGTGGGGTTCTCTGTTCTTCCCAATTTATTGAAAACATGTTGGAATCACTCTTCTTCTGCTGCCAGTGCGATGGAATATTTTTTCAATGATAGTGTTTGCTACATGGTTTCATGTGCCACGCAAAATCCTATTTATAGAAGCATGATGGTTGCTGATTCATATAGAACTATATATTGTGAAGCTCATAAAACATATTATTTGCACCATAGTGGGATAGTGTAAAGAAAGAAGACACAATGGAGTTGTGGAAGTTCTTCACAACTGCACTAATTCCAGTTCTGAAGGTGCTCATCATTACTGGTCTTGGCACATTTCTTGCACTCCACCGCTTTAATATACTCAGGGAGGAAGAGAGACAAAAAAAGGCAACAGCGGCAGGAAGAGAGAGAAAAATATGGTAGGAAAAGCATAGGAGAGAGAAAAAAAATACAGCCACATCAGCGCGGAGTTAACTCCGTTTAAGCCAATTTAACCGAGGGGACTTCATTTATACAATTTTTACAACTTTGGCACTCAATACATACATTTTTAAAACTGGATACTAAACGGAAATTCAGCTCTTAACTTAGGGACAAAGTAAGCTATTAAGCCTTTGCAAAACTAGTTTGCATCCACGAAAAAACTTAGATGAAGTTAATAAACCTATTCCCTTTTTATTTCCAATTTCGATTTCAAAATACAATAAAATCAACTAATTCCAAGTTACACAGTGCATGACGAGCCACATGAGAAAAAATTGAAGTGGTCATTCAAACACGGTTAACCTGTATAATCTGCAATTAACAATTTAAACGACTTTATGAAAAATGACCAAATTGAACATAAATCATCAAAATTAGAACCAAATTGAATATATGAAAAAAAACGAGTCACACCTTAGACAAAATTAACAAAAATAGGAATAAAAGAATGTTAAGTTTATGTATTTTTTATTTATTTTAACTCTTCCAAAACTCTTAAAAGAATAAAAGAATATGAATCAATTGGATGTTCTTTAACACCTAACGTCCAACAATGGTGAGAATCATTACCCACCCCAATCAACAATTGCACAAATCAACCAAAAACAAATTGGTGAAAACCTTGGAGAGCTATGTTCATATAATTGGGGAGCCACGTTCAAAGTTTTGGATAAACAATTTGACAAACATGTTCTTCGACTTTTTCAACATTAAAAAAAAAAAGACTGAGAACCAAACTTGTAGATTTATTAACATCAAATTCAATAATTACATTTTATCCAACATGTCTGATACTAAAATTTTGTACATTAAACCTAATGAATACCTTATGTACAACATAAATGTCAATGACAATATTCTTGTTCAAGCCTATTACATTTTGTGTAACTACAATAATCCTAATTGTTGCAACACTTCTTGCCTTCGTAAGTTGTCAAAAATCTAATCATAAACATATTTTTTCCTCAACTATTGTAGCTTTTCCTAAAACCAGCACAACCCATTTTACTATAACAACACAATACGAAAATTATCAATTCTTTTAACAAAGATTCACATTAACTAAGTCTTGTCTTACTTACATTGGTGTAATCAAGCATGCTCTTGTCATTATATTTCGAAACATCATCCCACAATTCAATCATTTTCAAAACATTAAAACCACAATCATGTCTCAAAAATGACAACCACAAATATATTAATTTTCACCACCCACATTCATGAAACATACATATATTTAAACCTAATATACTAATGGTAAATATTTACGTGTTTTGTTGAATTGGATTATTCACATACTAAATTGTGAATGATGACATACTATCTTCATTCATGTTCAACAACGTACCAAAAAATATTTGAAAATTTTGAGCCTGCACACATAATAATTTTTTTTTTTAAATTTCAAATACAAACTTAAATTATAAAATAACAATAAATAATAAGACTTACATTGTCAATCCTTCTATCAAACACAGAATTCTAATTTGAAAATCTTCACAACATAGCATCATCGATCCCTTATGGACTATTAGGACAAAAAATTACACAAAAATACATATGTTAATTATTTTTATTTTTTTAAAAAATCAAATCGAACTATAACACTTGTGACATTGTCAAATTATTGTTAAAATTTGGTTATTAAAATAACATTTTCCAAACTAAAAAGCAATCAAATAACTGAAAACATACAAAAGCCAAAAGAACTTTTGGATTTTATTGGATCTTTTCCTAAAAACCAAGGGGTTCAGTTCAATTTATAACTTAAATTTTAAAAACTGAACATCAATATACTTTTCATAATAATAACAATAATATCACCATTTTTTAGTCTAGACAACAGTTAAGTTTAGAAAATAGTTTGACCATTATTTTTCAGTCGTCGTGATCATTTCTTAACAGTAATGATTTTTTTTTTAATTTGGATATTTTGAAACAATTTAAAATAAATAATGAGCAAAAGCCATTTTGAGGCAACCTGTAAGACCCTAGATATTTAATTCTGCAAAACACCTGTCCAATCAGATTTAATGTAATTAAACCACCCTGCCGTGCATTGAAAAACGCACCCACGTCATTACTCAGAACATTAAAAATCCACTCACACTCTCTGCCACCCATCTGCCATGTGTCATGTTGGAACCTTCTATAAGTCAGTAGTGGAAGACAGGTGTCCGCGTGTGAATGAACGTCCGTTTGACTTGGGAAAGAGAATTTAATTTTCTGAAAACACTCCTTCCCATTCTCTGCATGCACTCACCTTCTTCCTCAAAACTGATTTCTCCATTTTCTCCACCGTCTCTCTAGAACTCCCAACTTCTCTATACTGAAATTCTCACGCTCCTTCTCCGATCACATTTCAGAACCGTAGAAACGTTCCTGGAGACGTGAACATCATTCTGGACCGAACAGAATTGGGATCGGAACTGGTAAGTTCTAGTCGCTAACCGTTCGTCCATTTAGTTCCAAGCGAATCCTAGTTGGGTTGCATGCATGGGTTATAGGTCTAAGTTGTTTATGATTTCTGGTATTTTAGATTAAGTGAAAGTTGTTGAGCGAAACCTG